TGGGGGGCCCCCCCTGGGGGCCCCCATGGATGGTGTGAAAGTAAGTGGGTACTGACGTAGGTTGATGAGGGGTTCAAGGATATTCAGAAATACACTGCCGCATACGTAGAGAGTAAGTTCTCGCTGCTGTATTTGCTGCTGCTGCTGCTGCTGCTGCTGCTGCTGTTGCTGTATTTGTTGTTGCTGCTGCTGCTGCTGCTGAATTTGATAGTATTGGTATTGCTGCTGCTGCTGCTGCTGCTGCTGTTGCTGCTGCATTGGCTGCTGTATTTGTATTTGCATTTGCTGCTGCCGCATCTGCTGCTGCTGCTGCTGCTGCTGCTGCTGCTGCTGCTGCTGCTGCTGCTGCTGCTGCTGGCGGTGTTTGAGTAGAGTTCTCCAGAAGCAGCGCGTGGGTGGCATTGCAACATCGATATGTATCTGCTGCAGCAGCAGCAGCTTCTGCAGCAGCAGCAGCAGATGAGAGGAGAAGGGTACTGGTCCATGGGGTGGTGGTAGTGTGTGCTGCTGCATGCATGCAGCAGCAGCAGCAATCCTGCTGCAGCGCGGAAATATATTTTGCTGCAGCAGAAACACCCATAAAAACAGCTGACAGCCGCTTATTTTTAACTCTTCTAAATTTATAAAACAAATACCTGAAAGCATGTGTCTTGCTGCCTTTATATACTCCTCCATCTCATGCTGCTGCTGCTGCTGCTGCTGCTGCTGCTGCAGTTGCTGCTGCTGCTGCTGCTGCTGCTGCTGGTGATGGTGCTGGTGATGGTGCTGGTGCTGCTGGTGCTGGTGCTGCTGCTGCTGCTTGTGCTGCTTGTGGTGCTCCTGCTGTTGCTGTTGGTGCTGCTGCTGCTGCTGCTTCTGCTGCTGCTGCTGGTACTGCTCCTGCTGCTGCTGCTGCTGTTGCTGCTGCTGCTGCTGCTGCTGCTGCTGCTGTCCTTTGTCTAGAATGCCCTGAGAGCAGCAGTCTCTGGATGCTATAGAGAGGTGCTTCAGGCTGCTGCTCTGCTGCCGCAGCAGCAGCAGCAGCTGCAGCGGCGGCAGCAACCCCAGAGTTTTGCTGCTGATAGATAAAGAGGAAAGACGGCCGGGATACAGACACAGCAGCATTGGAATCATAGACTGTCTGCTGCTGCTGCTGCTGCTGCTGCTGCTGCTGCTGCTGTTGCTGCTGTTGCTGCTGCTGCTGCTGCTGCTTGTATGAGTCTTCTAACCACCTCCTGCGTGAATGTAAGCGGGCGCTGCTGCCGTGCTGCAGCAGCTCCCCCTGCTGCAGCAGCCGCCACAGCAGCGGTGCTGCAGCAGCAACCTGAGGCAGCTCATCTACATAAAAATATTTAAACACCAGCAGCAGCAAAGCCTTCGGCAGCTGCAGCAAACGAGATGAAGGTGCTGCTGCTGCTGCTGCTGCTGCTGCTGTTGCTGTTGCTGGTACTTGTGCAACGCTGCTGCTGCTGCTGCTGCTGCTGCTGCTGCTGCTATGACAAATGCTGCTATGGGAAGACGAGGACACGGGGCAGCAGCAGCAGCTGCTGCTGCTGCTGCAGTTAACGCTGCGGTTGCTGTTGCTGCAGCAACTGTTACTACCGTTGCTGCTGCTGCAGCAGCTGCTGTTGCTGTCGCTGCAGCTGCTGCTGCTGCTGCTGCTGCTGCCGCTGCTGCAGCAGCAACTGCTGCTGCAGCACTCCCTACTCTGAGTGCATGCGCATGCAGTGTGAGACTCCTTATAAAGCCCCGGGGAGCAGCAGCAG